TATCAGTTACATTTTTGAAAATATCATAAGTAATTCTCTGATCTTCAAATTGCTGTATTTTCCTTCTTAGCTTCAGGCCTGAAAATCAGTCGAACATTTGTTAAAACAATTGTCTAGCCTTCTTACAGGATTATCAAATTATGCCATTATCATTTTGTACTAGAGAGGCTTTTTTTACAATGTTAATAATTTAAAAGGATTTCAGAAAATAAGCAAATTAATTAATTAACCTGATCAGACAGTGGGGAAGATACATAGAGCTATTCAAATTAGCTATTTTTTAATTATGCTTCTTTACTTCTTAAAGCCAGATTTCAGAATGATTCTGAAGGCTTCCTTACAGCAGTCTCTGTAGTTCAACAAACCCCACTGCTATCAGCAGAGGCTCCCATTACATGCTTTATGACCCCGTTGAGACTTATCACTTCTGCAAGGAGCCGCGGTAACAAATCGAGCTGCTTTCAGGAGCCGAGCAGGGACGGGCACCGCCGTCTCGTGGCGAGTGCACTGGAATGGGGGCCTGGGGACTCCCTGTCTAATCTCCGCTCTGTGACTGACCAGCCGTGTGACCTTGGACGAGATACTCCTCTATCTGTGTTTCCCCTTTTACCCTTTGCCTGTCTCAATTATTTAGACTGTGAGCTGCGTGTGACGGGGAGTGTTTGCAGCCCCATGGCCCAGTGAATCCCCTGGTCTGGGCTGATACTGGAGATATTGCCATGCCACAGACAAAACGCAGTCATTTCAACATCCAGAGCATCATGTGAAATGAATTAACTAATAGCACATTTTTCAGTTAAAGGTAAAGTTATCTATGTGCAGATTCTTCTCCCTGTTTTCGCTTTGCTTGACTGGGGAACACCACATTCATGAGAAGGTGTTTGCTGGGCTGTAGTCATTACTGAATAGCATGTGTGTTCTGTGAGGGTCTTACATAAACCAACACCAGGAGCTTAACCCATCTTCAACTTAACAGTTTCTTTGTGTAAGAAGGCAGGAATCTAAACATTTTCCCTTGCTCAGATAATGTGTCCAGATTTCCAGTGGGATTTTACCTGGTGTACCAAAGCAAGTATTTGGTAGAATGTGTGACAGTTCCACCAAGGAAACAATGACCAGAATAAAATCTAGTTCACTAGCAGGAGCAAAATTCCTCTTCATAAACTTATTTTTATTACTGCCACAAGAAGTAATGTCTGCTTACACTTGGTAAGTCATTCTGCAGAATAAGATGATGCTGGTTTCATACCATCATGGGTCAAAATAAAGGTTCATTTTATGCCTTTGACCCTAATTTCCAAATCCCCTGTGTTTTCCAGCCTGTAAGGCTAGCTTCACTCTAGAGGTGCTGTGCTCAGAAAATCTTCACAGATGGAAAAAAGGAGGCTCAATTATGTTTCTGCAAAATTAAAACAATGGTATATTGATTATTCTATATGTTGTATTGATTATTCTATAGTTTGACTATGGTGCACTGTAATGGGGATTGAGAAACATTAGAAATGGGAACAGGCAGTGAATTGCCTTGACCAAAACTTAACAATTTACTTGCCACAATGCACATCCAATGTGTGACACAACAGACTCAGGTGACATGTTGTTACTTGAAAGGTAACTTCACTATTTTTGTTATAGACTGTTTGTTTGCATGCAGCATCCTTTGCTCCCCCTTAGTCACGCTAAAGACTGATTCTTAAAGATTTCATTGCATATGTTGAAAAAAGTGTTGGTAAATGACATGCATTTTGCCTTAGGAATTACTGTATACAGCTGAAAACAGCCATACATTTGTACATACACCAGTAATAAATCTGCGCACAATATTACATGTCTTTTTGCATGTAGTACTTGGAAACCTTGGAAAAAAAAATTTAAAAGTCTTTTCCTAGATTCTCTTATCTTAGATGTCTTGTTTTAAAACAGGCTAGAAGTAATAATACTAAAAAGTCCAGACCAGCTAGGGCAACCTACAGACTGCAATGGAAAGCTGTTTTTAATGAAAAGTTCAGCTAGGCACCTGATAACTATAAGTAAGAAATGGTTTACACTCTCCCTACAAATTTGTTTTTTAATAGTGTTTTTAGAAGCAGCATTAGTACATCTTGCCCTAACAATGTTAGTTGCTTGGTTTGCAAATTAATTCCTGGAAGGAGTTATAAAAAGAAAAGGAGATGTTGAAACCACCCCTGGAGTAATTAAAGGGCATCAATAAAACTTTTATCCCAGGGAAGCATAACTGGGGGAAAAAATGTAATATTTAAAGATTCTGTCTGGACAGAAAACAAAATCCTTAGCCTGTCAGAGTGGAATCTGATACTGCTGGCAAGCCAAGGTTGCGGCAAGAGCACGGAAGTTTGTTTTGTGGATCTGGTATACTTATCAGCAACATAAAAAAATTTCAAAAATGCCAAGCCTGTCACAGGAGCCTTCCCAAGGAGCCACTTGTGTGCCTGTGTGCTGTGAAGCCAGCAACTGTGATGGGTTCTTGCTACGTGAATCTCTTCATGAGGACAGGAACCAAGACTAACTCACTTGATGTAGCTTCGGAGCACCAGGGTAAAAAGCATTTGTGTAACTTTAAACCTCAGACAAACTTGAATTATACTCATGGAGAAAATTGTCACCATCATATCCTTCAATGCCAAGTCAGAAGTTTCACTTTTACATGAACAGTGGCAGATTTTATAAAAAATAGTAAATATAATTACAATAGTGTTCTTTATATTAATTAGAATAGGAGGTATCTGACTTATGATTGCTTGACTTAGTGTGACCTCACCTGCTACTTAAAGTAATTCGATCTGCTTGTAAGAGAGAGCATAAAAATAAAGAGAACAACTGTGAGAGATCAACATATAACTGTGTAATTGCAGTCTGATTGGTCTTTTAAGTTTTTATCACCTATGAACTTTTTGCATGTGAAAAGGTCTAATGCTGGAGGACTGCTGGTTAAGCAATTCTTACATGAAACAACTGTAGGCTTTCTTTATGCTGCCAATAATAATGAAGCGCATTTATTGAGTACTTCTTACTTTCCAGTGAAAACATCGGCAGTTGCTTCAGGACACAACTAGAAGGTATATGGTAAATTTTTGTAAGCTAAGAATTGATCTGAACACAGTACTAACAGCATGATTTTAAATCAGTGAAATTAAATAGATGCAATTCAGAGCCAGTTAAGGTAAACTGGTATAACCTGGAACAATGCCAATGAAACAATGCCCAAACCAGGATATGTTTATTTAAATAAATCAGTTAGCAGCATATGTTAACATCACGTACCTCTAGACAGTGTCTTCCCAGCTTCCTCAGTCACATCATCAGGAAAATAAATTGGTCTAAAATATCTAAAATTGACTAAAAATGCCTGTATTTTAAAATGGGTGAAGTGGGTTTTTTATCTTAATGCTGCATGATATTCTTGTTTTAAATCACATGACATTGCAGCAGAAGTAGTACACATGTAAAATGATAGATGAAGAAATGGTAACCGAATTCAAGAAGTAGCTATCAGTAGGAAAGGATCATCAGGGGAGGCTGCTTCCAGTAGAGTTCAGTGGGAATTCGTGTGACTCCTGGCATTGATCAATGATTTTATGAGCAAGGTGGAAATAAATACAGTGACTAAAACCTAGTGAGTAACTAACAATAAGGGCAAAGCAGTTGTACAAAGGAGTTTAACCTGAGTGTGTCAGCCTTGTTACAATAAAATGTTTTAATATAATAAAAAATAAACTAGCATTTTCCAGCATACATGTCTAGCATGTAGTAGATTTTGTAGTGCTTAAAGTATTCAAGGATTGATGTCTTCCTAGAAGTTATTTTTTGGTCAAACATGCATTAGGTGCACTCTGTACACATTACATAGGTAGGAAATAAGACTCAAATCTATTAGAAGTGTTCTTTCAGGTGACAGTTTTTCTGAATCCATTTGTAACCAGTGAAACTTCTGCACATTGGCCAGACCTGATAAAGCGTTTTTTCATGTCACCTGAGCGCTTAAGGATGGCACTGCTGCAGGAGTCTGGGCTTTTTCTGTGTGGCTCTGTTAAGCATGAATTAGGGTCCCAAATCTGCCGGGGCACTGAGATACACAGAAGTGTTATTGGGAAGAATCAAGGCAATTCCTGCAAACAGGCCACTAAGGAAGCCAATGTGCTTCTTCCAGGTTAACAGCTTTGCTCACAGTGCAACTTTTTTGCCTGCAAGCCATACTGGTGCGGTTCCTAGTGTGGATGTAAGCATGTTGGATGTTTTTATACAGGAATGGTCTTTTCTCTTTCTTATTTAGAAAGCTTAAGCCTTTGAACTGGTAAAACCGCATCTATGCGAATGGGTTTACACCCCTTAAAGGATTCCAGCACAGCTGTTGCCTCACTTTTATTTAGGCAAGGTCCATGCTTCTTAGGCTGCTGAAAATGGGTGTCTTGAACTTTCAGTTCAGAAACTGAAAAGATGCCCCAGGCACAGAGTCATACTATTTAAACTCTGCTTGGTTGTGTGGTACAAAATGAAGTAATGCTAAAACTAAACTATCTAATCTAATCCATTATTCAGTGTTTAAATATGTGAAGCAAAGAGAACATAGATAAGAATATGCCAATAAACTTTCCATGATTTAAGAAGCCTGTTTTCCCATGTTTTTTTTCTTTGGGGTGGAGATATGCACAGAAACATTTGAAAAATTGGGCTGAATAATTTTTAGTTTCACATTTGTGGATGCTAACAAAATTTCATCTTGAGAGCTTGTTCTAGGTACATTTTGAAATCTTTGTGCCCTGCATTAAGTACCAATTACAAATTGAAAGTGAAAAATAGTAAAGCTTAATTTTTTCCATGTATTTCTTCTGATTAATATAAAAAGAATGTGTGACAGAAAAGGATTACAGACCAATAGCACTGCTTCCTCTGTAATCTTTATCCCTTTCCTGACTAAGCGCTATCTGCTAATACAAATCCCCTAGATCCTGACCTCTCTTTTTTGCTTTCCTTCCCTGCAGGCATGGTGGAGGAAATGATTCCTGTCACGTAGCCAAAGGGGGCATATTTACATGGCTCCACATGATGTGACAAGGAAATCCTGTTGCAGGGAATTCAGGAGGAAAACAAGTAGGTTGCCTTTTCTGCCCCTCTTTTTGGAAGTCCTACCTCCACTCCTCTACAAGTTTGCTTCCTGAATTGATACTTCTGTGACTTTATCAGTACAGATCTCTTTGTTTCTCAATTTTCTTTCTCCATTTTTGGACATGGAGGCTTCCAGGACATTATTCTCCTTCCTGATATCTTGCCATATGTTGTGATTGTGTTATTGTTTTCTACGGATTTTTGCTTTGCAGATTTTGCGTGTAGTACTCATGGTTTTTTGTTCCTCCACTGATCATCTTTAATCTCTGCACCAAAGTAAGGAACCACTGTAAGTGCTTTATTTCTGTTCTCTCGTGGGCTGAGGGGAAAAGCCTCCACTGCAGACAGGAGGGTGTTATAATTTAAAATCCAAAAGCATTCAAATAGCTTTGGCTGTAGCCTAGAGGAAACCAAACATGGAAGGGTTTAACATTTGTTTTAAAATGCATTTACTACATATATAGTATTGTGGTTAACATTTTCTAGGTTATTTTATAAACTATATATGAAAACTCAGTGTGAGAGCTTTCCTTCACCCACCAAGTAAATACCCACAAGGCTGAATTCCATTCCTACTGTCTTTGAGATCTGTAATCAAAATCATCAGTGAAACACATCAGTTGACTAGGAAGGAAACCTTTATTGAATGTAGGACTCTGTGTAAAATCAACATGGAGCTTACACAAAAAAGTGATTTTATTAAATGCACGTGATAGTAAAAGCTACAGAGCAGTTGTTAAGAAATCATGATGTGAGTGTCATCCTGTGGTTTCAAACCAGGAATATGTCCTTTAAGGGCTAACTGCTCCTTCAGCTGGCAGCCAGGTTGTGTGTGTTTAGAGCTGGATCTGATCAGAGACCACAAGAATAAGAACAAAAGCACTTTTCTGTTGTAGCATTAGTTTTGATCCACAATACTGTATGTTAAAAGCTTTAAGCTTTGGGAACATTTAGGTCTAGATCCCACTTCATGCCTCAGTACCATTGTTTGTTTTGTATAATGGACCATAGAGTTTCAAAAAATTTCTGCTTTCAGAGAGGAGTTTATCTAAACAGAAAGATTTTATACTTTATTCCAAACCCATAATTCTACTATTTTAATCTGTGTCTTCCTCTTGTACAGTCCGGTTACTAAATAAAATCTACCAAGATCAAATGATGGTGCGGTGTTCTGCCTTTTGACTGTTTTAGGATATGGAGAGTCAGATCCAGTTTCCTAGCTTGGCATCTCCAGCATGGCAGTAATTTAGAAACACAAAGAACTAATGGCCAAAGCCTTGTCATACCAGTCAAAGAGATTGTGCAGTCATTATTTGCTTATTTTTTTTAGTGTTTTTCTTCTTTCCAGTAGTACTGGAATTTAACCAATGCCAAAAACATTTTTTGACCTGCTTAAAGATGTTTGGGCTGAATGCCTGATGTCTTGTGTTTAAGGTGAGAATGACTAGAAGGGTACAGTTGGGGAACAACCAAATCAAACTTCCACAGTATAGACGTGTACAACCCTATGGAAAAGAAAGCTGTAGAATATGATAAATGTTTCAGGAGAAAAAGCAGATCTTGTCCTTGAAAATAACAACAACATTTCAGTTTTCAGATAAGGAAGAGCCAAAAATATTAATGACCTGTCATTCTGTAGTGCAGCTTTTTCCCCCTCTCTTCTTCAGAGTGAAATGTAAAAAGAGGTAGAAGTGGAGTACAAAGGCAAAGATGAGAAATATTAAATGTATAAACATGTTTTAGGTTTTTATTTTTTTATTGAAAAAACTCCAAAACGCTCAATAAATTTAAAATTACTGTTGCAAATATCTGTTTTATTAACAGATCTCTGTATCTCAGAAGGTGAATGAAGCTTAGAGATGAGGAGACATTAAAAAGATAAGAGCTACAGTTCTAGTCTGGCTTTATAATTTCAAATGAAAAAAAAAAAATCCAGTGTAATTATGGAATGTCAGATTGTCAAAGATTGTAAGACCAGAGTTTTTTCCCCTCTCAATTTACTTTCAACAGGTAAGTAGGGAATACTGAACACCCTGAAAAGACCTGACTTGAATAAGAAGCCAGCAACTGTGGAAAGGTCGACATAACACTGCTCGTAAGTACACGACCTTGACTATTGGGTCTGTGATTTGGGGCATTTTCCACACGCCGCTGGGACATGGGACTGGGGTTCTGTGGCTGCTCACCTGTGGGCATCGTCCATGGGGCTGCCTGCCCCACGCGTGGCCCTCGGCTCGCTCAGCGGTGCCGTGGGGCAGCAGCGGTGCCGTGGGGCAGCGTCTGCTCTGGCCAACGGGACACTACGGGATACAGCACCTGCATGTAGTGGGGTGAGAGCTGCCAGTGGGTGCTGCTGCTGTTTTAAAGCTACGTGGGTTTTCTTGTATAGATTTGCTCAGTTAAGCTATGAAAAATACAATTTCTGCATGTTTGACTGCTGCTTTATGAGGCCATCAATTTTTAAGAGGGTTTTATGAAGTCTTGATCCAGGCAAACATAGTTATTAGATAACATCTATCTAATTTTAAGAAGAAAATAAAAACCACAAATAAAGTAATAAAAATGGACAATAATAAAAACCCTTAAGGATTTGGTGTGTGTGAGGTGAAGATTTAGGTTCTGTTTGACTGACAGGAAGAGAGGGAACTGTAGATCTCCAACATGAATCATTGTCCCCTGCTCATCATAAAGTTTAATTTTCAAGTAGTTTAGCAATAATAAAAACCCTTAAGGATTTTGTGTGTGTGAGGTGAAGATTTAGGTTTGGTTTTGACTGACAGGAAGAGAGGGAACTTTAGATCTCCAACATGAATCATTGTCCCTTGCTCATCATAAAGTTTAATTTTCAAGTAGTTTAGCCTCAGATTACCAGGAATAATTTCTGGTTCCACTCTAGATAATATTGGTGAGACAGCTGTAGATTTAAGGGTCATTAAAGCATTCTTATTCACAAAATTATGCACTTACCTTTAATCATGTATTTAATTCTCATTGAAGCTAATGGGGTTTAAAAATGTTCTTCAGTCCTTTTGCTCTCAATGGAACTTTAACATTTTCTTCAACTATAAATTTCCTTAATTGTTTTTCTTAACTGGGGACTTTCCCATCTTTCTGCTTTGCAGGATCAGCCTCTAGGTCCTTCCCCCGTGGCAGGCACCAGCCTCCCAGGTACAGGGGTCAGAGCGAGCCAGGACCTAGATGGGAGCAGGACGAAGCTCTGCCACCTCCCTTTACTCTGTAATGGGAGAGACACTGCACACTACAGGCACCACAGGGGATAGCAGTGTGCACATATGGGAGATGGTCTGGAGCCTCCCTGGTAAAGCCCTTTCTTAATCACCCCTCACAAGGCACAGGTAATAGGTACGGCACCTTGTTTTTCCTTCTGCAGATGCAATTAAAGGGGATTTTGCCTATTTTCCTACAGATTTGGACAGAACGGGGTGGTTTCCATTATTATTTTCCTGCCGTAGGTGCATTTTATGAAGAAGTGTCGTTTGTGATCTAGTAGAATATTCTCGGGTCATTCGTCCTCAGCATCCCCTTGGCCCTGGTGTGTTTTCTGCTTTGTAGGGGATTTTCCATTTCATACATTCAGCTAAATATCCCCCAAAACACCTAAGGAGTAAAATCTTAATATTTCATTTTAGAAGATTTTATAAAGAATTTTAATTATGATTATTGTTTAATATTTTATTTAAAGGAGAAGGTAAATTCAGAGGCAAAGAAAACAACCTATTCGGTGTAACCGGTCAAATGACATTCCAGGAATATTAATGTCACTGGGGGTCCCTAGTGACTGAAGCTTCAAAATGTTTGGCTTTCCTCTGTTTATTTAGTGTCAGAAAATGTGGAACAATTTTGCCAAATTATTTGGAAGAGACTAAGCGGTGAGTAATCTGAGTTTTCTCTCTGTTTTTCCATTCCTTGTGAAACTCGGTAATAGTATTTAAACTCATGTGTGGTGTACTTTTATCCACAGAAGAAGAAGCATAAATGAGTCTGTAGTAAAAATATCTGAATAAGTTTCAACTATAAGGCCAAGATGGAGAACTATGGGTTAGTCACGGAGAAACAATGTAGAGCAATGAAGAAATAATTTCTTTCTTGCTACCTATCAAACAGGCGTGTTTACCTAAGTTTTTACTTACCAAACAACTACTTTTTTTTTTTTTTTTTTTTTTTTAAATAAAAAATTTGTCACTACATCACTGGAAGGAAAGAACTTTGTTTCATTTTATTTTTCTTTGCTAGCAGGTAGAAATGTCCTTATTTGGTTTCTTTGAATCTGGAAAAAATTCTTAATTGTTATATTGGTTAAACATTTGAAAAAAAACATAGCTATAGCTTATCTTAAGTTACTAAAAGAGTTTAACTTTACTATAACAGTCATACAGAAATCAGTCTGACACTAGGTACATTGCCCAAAATAAGTTTGCTAAGCAGTGCTGTTATTTTATTTAGAAATTAAAAGAAAATGGTTTTGTAATTCAAAGTTTTGTTGACTTTGAATGTAATCACCCTCAATAAATCTCAAATTGCTTTATGAGCGTAGGTAAATATCATCATGCAAGTCCCATGTCTATCCAGACAGAAACATCTGTGTCTGTCCTACAATCTTTATGTTGCATTCAGATGTCCATCTGGACTCACAGTGCTGCTGTGGCTACCAGATATTACTCTCACCCTGGTTCACAAAAGTCCTATTAGCCTAGAGAAACGCATGTCTCTACCAAGTTCACCCTGTAATGGAATGTGCCACCTACAGAACTGGCTCTGCTTGACCTCTGCCAGCACCAGCCTTTCCTTGGTGCCAGTTGAAGAAACTTGGGGTGTTGAGGGGGTTTGTTCTTCCTCAGGAGTTCTCCTCAGGATCTGCCTGTACTTCCATGGGGTGAGTGTTTGCTTTGAAAACCTAGCTGTCCCCCTGAAAGCCCAAGGACCAGAGACCCATGGGGTCCCTCTCTTATTTCCCAGGGGCCTTGAAGGCAAGGGGACTTTACCAATGTGGTTCATATTTATCCAGAGATTTGTGCTGTTCAACAATATAGACAATAAAGACAACCATAGTTCAGTCAGTGGCAAAAAAAGTTTGTAGATGACCCTAACTTGTTTAAGGTAGTAAGGCTAATTGTGGGATGCAGGAAGACTTCTAAGGACTGAGTGAACTGGTGGCAAAGTGGCAGATGAAATTCAATGTGCGTACATGTAAAGTAAGGAGGTAATTCTTTCTACTGTGAGACATGGACCTAACTTCTCAACTGTAAGAGGTAGATGTTAAAAGAGGAGCTGGAACAAATTCATAGAGGAGGGACTAAATGCACAGAAGTTATATCTAGCCCTGAAAGTCTCCAAGCTGGAAATAATAGATGGCTGGAAGTGCATTAGAGGTAGGCATTGCACATGCTTGTCCTGTTCTTCCTCTTCCCCAAGCAATCTTTTATGACTACTTTTGGAATGAGCACAATGGGCTACATGGACTGTTACACAACAAGTATTATATAAAATAAACCATGAGCATGGGTAGCACAGTGCTTAGTGTCTTCCTGCCTTCCTTTCCTCTTCTCCTTAATGCAAGAATTATGTAAAAATTCTGAAGGTTAAACAGGCCTTTAAAATTTTCAGCAGTTGCTCTTTGGAGAAAGGAGGAAAACAAACCTGTCATGATCACTGAAAGTAGATGTTTCCAAAAGGAAACTTAATTTTTTGTGATGCTCCCTTAGCACCCACTGGATGCAGACATGGGCAAGAGAGGACAGGGTTACATTCACTGAAAGATAAAAGGTGACTGAGGCAGAGAACAAATTGCTCCCTGTTAGTGGGATGATTTAGGGTTTTATTTTATACAAGTGGCAACATTGTTGTAACTGTGATATTCTAAGGATATAGATGCAGCAATTTTTGAAGGAGAAATAATAACTTTTGTTAGGCTGACTGATACAGCAGCAAAATCCATCGGGCAGTGCTGGTGCACTGGCGCTGTGGCCTTGGGCACACAACCCTTCCTCTGGGCTCGGACAGATGCCTCTGTCTGGGACACACAGGCCTTTCTTTTCTCTAAACCAGGAGCTTTTCTCTGAGATGGGAAGAAGGGCTTCTGTGCCTGAAAGCTTGCTTGTTTTCTACAGCTCTACCAGCTGGTCTAATACAGGAGATCATGCCTCACTTAACTTGCTTATATCTGTCAGGGATCTCACAGATGAGGTGCCAGGAGATTGTGTGCAAGACATTTCAGCACTGTCTTTGGATACTGCAAGACTATTTAAATTTTTCCGCAAACATCTTCTGTGCACAGAACCTAAGATGGGAAACTGCCAGCAAAAACTGTTAGTATATTCAGTAGACAGAGACTTGGCCAGCTTGAGCTCAGGGCAGCCAGCATGTGTCTTTTGGAGTCCCCTGGGACAGGCAGTCTGTGGGCTTCACCTGCACTGCTGGCTGTCTTGGGAGGTGGGGAGGTGGTGTGAAAGGTGGGCAAGGAGCCATAGCTTGTCCTGTCTTTAATAGTCTGAAGTTTACTCTTTCAAGCAGTACAAGGATAGCCAGGATGGTCCCACATTTGCAAAACAATTTTGCAAACTGAGGAATGAAGAGAGGGAGGAATTAATGGATTTACTCTGACATAGAAAGGCAAACCACAGCTCACGACAGATCCAGCATCCTCAGTTATGTCTAAAACCAAATACTAATGAAAGATCTGTATCCTTGACTGTCTTGTGGTGTGTTTGACTGTCTTAATCATGCTCTATGATCACTTGGCCTCATCGAAACTGCAGCTTAACAGAGCTGTATTTGTAGTCATCATGCTGTCAGGGACGGCAGCTTTGGCCGCCTGCTTTTCTGTTTCCCACTGAATCACTTTGATGTGGATCTCCCACATCTTGAGTGAGCTATCTAATAAGTCACCTACTGTGTAAAAGCTGGGTACAGTTCCTCCTCCCACTGTATTTTTTAATTAAAATAACTATGGCATCTGCTTTATTCAAGCCTTCAGGGACATAGCTTGTCTCATCTCATAATGGGATGTGGAAGGAAAATAAGAGTCAAAATTTACCTAGGTTACTGAAGAAATATGTAGGGAATTTTTCAGTTCAAACAAGGTTTGATTTATCCCTGACCAGGAGCTTCATTTCATCTAACATTGGTTACCTAAAAGGGAAGCATCAGGTCTACTCCTGACTTTCTCCCAAGCAATGGAGAAAGTACCTTGCAACAGCAAAACAAGTCATCCCCTCTCATCTAAGTTCTTGTTTAGGGATGGGGTAGGAGGACCCCACTTTTCTTCACTTCTGCCAGTCTCTAGAGCAGTTCCAGGACTACCTTTCTATGAACAGAATTTCATTGATGCTAAATATCCATTATTGGTCTCATGATTATGCATCATATGTATGCACAGGCTTAAAAATGCAATAGTCAGATACAAAAGCAACCATGAGTCATTACTGGTCTCTGGGAAAAAATACAAAAAATCTCCCCAAGTATTCATTCTGAGGTAGAAAAAAATCCAAAACACTTCCATGAATTTGTTGTTGGCCAAGCCCTTCAATCAAGAGCACCAGCTTCTCATGACCATAGAAGATAAAGTGATAAAGCGTACAAAAACCTCACAATATCACAGGGTTGGTTTTCTATGGAAAAAGACAAATTTCTGTCTTTTCTGATTTTAAAGACAGAATGTCTGTGAGTCCAACCACATCATAAATATTAGGAAAAGAGATCTGTAATATATGGTTTAACTCTGATAATGGCACCAGAGGCACCTGAAATGCAATGCCAAGACTGCATTAGAATAAGTGAGTTAGTGCCTGTAAGTCAGGCACTACAGAAGACACAGCCCCAAAAAATGCAGTTTAAGAAAACAAACTGTGTCTGAACAAGACAAAGTACCCTGCATGTGGGAAACAAAACATCAGCACATATATTACAGTTTTGGACAACAATTCAGATTATTTGTGAAGTCATGATAGGTACACCTTGTAAATGTTGCTTGGACCTTTCTTTTACTAGTTCCTTAATACTTGAGGGAGCATTTATAGTGGGTTCCTGTGTTTAAATCTGCTGAAGCCATCTTACTGATTTGGTTTCTAGAACATCTTTCAGAAAGTTATCTCATGGTACAATGTTTGAGCTACTGTAATCAGATAGGGGGTAATCTTACAAAAGTTACAACTTTTGGGGGATGTAACCATTATTGCTACACTATTTGTAAATTAAATTTAAAGAAGTCTAAGAAGAAGCAACCTGTAACAGACCCGGTGCACACAACAAAAAGACAAGAACAGGTGTATTAAGGTAGGAAAGTTATTTTTATTTTTTATCTCTAAACTCCATGTCTCTACTGGATGAATGTAAAATTATCTTAATTTCTTTCCAAGTCCCATCTTTCAAGTTGACCTATCTCAGCAGTTCCAGGAACCTGTTTTCCTCTTGACTGCCCCTTCTGCACTCACCAACACTTATGCCACACCGATCTCATAATCATAGAAGGTGTTTATGTCACACAAAGCAGTCAAAAATCATTGTAAAACTTATTTCTGCAGTTGGAACATACAGGTAAGATTAACAGCATTAATTGATGTTAAAGTCCTTATGTCTCGGCTAAATATAACACAAAACTATTTAGAAACTTTTTTTTTAAGAAATGTCTGATGTTAAAGTGCAAGCTATTTTCTCATTATTTCTATCATCCTTTAGCCATCGTCATATGTTCCACTTTGCAAGGCTCCTTTAGTGAAAATCAATCTGGTCCTACAGCCCCCTCTCCTGTGCATTTATCATCAGTGCAAGAAATTCAGCAATTTGGTCAGCTCTGTAACATTTGTATCTTGCATACTTACGTAGGGACTTAAAAGTTTCTGATTAGTCCAGGTTTGAACAGTTTGTAACTACTAGTGGATTTATAGTCATGGCACCTCAGTGCGTTAGGGGAGTGCTATTAATGGGAGAAGCTAAAAAGGAATCAGAAACAGTTACATTTTTTCAAAAACTTATGAAGAGACAGATCAGCACCTGCTGGGTTATTCAGAAATGCCTGAGCAGGCTAAGTATCTAATTTTCAAAGGGAGTTTATCAGAACATGTTCATGCTTATTTGTCAGTCTACTAAATGCCAGGCTTCACCCTGGGGCTTCTGAGCACCTTTGAAAGTCTGCTGGAGAGGAGCTGCATGTGTGGGTTCCTTTGGAGGCATAA